TTGTAAAATTTATTTTTGCAAATAAAATATTAACCCATTTGAGATTCACTTGCACACACACGGTAGGTGCAATCATATTTAAATATTATTAATTATTTTGAATAAAATATTCGTTCATGTGGGTTTTTATTATGTTGAAAATTTACTGTGCAAATTGCATATAATAAATTGCTTTTTTTATATTGTTGTAAAATTTATTTTTGCAAATAAAATATTAACCCATTTGAGATTCACTTGCACATACACGGTGTGTGCAATCATATTTAAATATTATTAATTATTTTGAATAAAGTATTCGTTCATGTGGGTTTTTATTGTATTGAAAATTTACTTTGAAATTGCATATAATAAATTGCTTTTTTTATATTGTTGTAAAATTTATTTTTGCAAATGAAATATTAACCCATTTGAGATTCACTTGCACACACACGGTATGTGCAATCATATTTAAATTATTTTTGAATAAAGTATTCGTTCCACACACACATGTGGGTTTTTATTATGTTAAAAATTTATTTTGAAACTGCATAGAATTAATTATTATTTTTATATCTTTGTAAAATTTATTTTTGAAAATAACCCATTCAAATTAAATTAACCCATTTGAGATTTACTTGCACACATACACACACACACCGTGAGTGTGCAATCATACTTAACATACATTATTTTGAGTAAAATATTCATCAAGATAAGACTTTTTTTTATGTATATATAAATATTAATCTTTAAAGTAAAAAAAAAAAAAAAAAGAAATTTGTCATTGTAAACTTAATAAAAGTATAATAAAAAAAAAAAAGAAAAGAAAAGGACGGTTCTCAAAAATGGCTTTTGAAAAACGTGTTAGAAAAAAGTCGTAGTCTCGAATGGAGTTATAATGTCAAGATAAAATGCACGAACTTTTTTTGTTCAACCTCTAATAGCATTATACAATATTATGAATAATAAATATTAAATAACAATAATAATAATAATAATAATAATAATAATAGCCTCGCAGCCGCGCGTGCGACAATGAACAAATGACGCGACACGAGCCGCATGGCTTGCCAGAAAAACATCGGTGAATTCCATCAACCAATGCAAGCACCGAAGCTTATTTGGCAAAAGGCTCCGTTAAAGAAAGCCTCTCTGTGAGGACATGAGCGTTCAACTTGCACGAGTCATATAACTCAAAATACAAATCAAATAATAATAATAATAATAATAAATTATTTTATTTTTCTAAAAAAAACTTGTTCTTGTTTCGTTTGCTCAATTTGTACAATTTTCTTCCAAATTATCCAAAACAAAAGATCAAAAAAAGAAACAAAACAAATACCCCAAAAAAAATTGAAATAAAAAGGTCAAGGTAAATTTCAAAGTAAACCCTTCCCCCTGCCCCTCCCCCTACCCTCCCTTAGAGGGAAGGGAAGGGATAAACAAAATAAAACAATTTATCTATTTATTTATCTATCTATGGATTTTTATCTTTCTGGCGATTTTTTTTTTGTTTTTTGTTTTTTTTTTTTGGTTTTCTTGGCAATGACTTCGAAGTAAGATGAAGGCCCACGCTGTGCTTTTTCTTTTTCTTTTTTTTTTTATTAATTTTTTTTTTTTTTTTAATTCTTTTTAGTTTCTTTTCTTTCATTTCTTCCTATTTCTTTGTTTTCAAATTTTTCTTGATATTTTTTTTGTTTTTTTTTTTCATTAAATCTGCCTCGCATTGCATATTCCCGTCAGGGGTTTATTGGAAGGTTTCGTAGGTAATTTTGTTTTGTTTTGTTGTTGTTGTTGTTTTTTTTTTGTTTGTTTATCGTCGTTTAACTCGTCGAAAAGTTGGATTTGTGATTGATTATTTTGTTTTACATTTTTTTTTTTTTTACATTTGGAAATTTTTCTTCACTCAAGATTTGCAATTTTCGCGGAAAATTGGAATTAAACAAACACACGATGATAATTTGTGAAATTTAATTGAACAATTTTTGAAAATATTTTATAGTCGAGCAATTTTATGGTTTTTTTTTGTTTTCTTTTTTTTTTTTTTTTAAATAATTTGAATTGAAATGTATTGTGTAAACAATTGAACAAGATATATTGTATACAAATAAATTATGTGCAGCTCGTAAAAAGAGTCAAACAATTTGTTTATTACAAATGACGACGAAATATTGGATTTTGTATGAAATTAAATTTTTATGAAATTAATTAATAAATTTGGAATAATTTTTATTAATTATTGAATAATACTTTCTTTGAATAATTCAGAATTGAATTGTTTTCAATTTCTTTGTATTTTTTTTTTTTTTTATTTTTGTGTGATTGTTTGAATGATTTTTCATTAAAGTTAATAAAACTTTTTGACGAGTAACGACGACGGAAATTGGAATTATTCGAATCACACGCAAAAGAGTTAACTAAATGACAAATTGGACATGCAAGTTTGTGTCAAAACATGCAATGTTTGTGCTATTGCGCACACACAACACGATAATAGTAGTAAGTGGATTTGGAAAATGTTGTTTGAGCGACAGAGAAGGAGAGAAGACACTTCTTTCTTCGATTTAAATTTATAAACAAACAAACAAACAAATGAATAATCCAATTGAATTTTGTCTACTCTATTGTCCTCCCATGCACTCAAAAAAAAAAAAAAAAAGAAAATTCTTCGATTTGCAAAAGGTGTACACCCTTCTCCCTTTTAAATTATGCCCAAAAAATTCTGATTAATATATTCGTGATTGATCATTTTACGTATGTTGTTGTAATTTCGTACATACGAACGAGGTGTGTTATCGAAAATTTTATATAAATAATTTTTGGTATCTTTTATTTAATTTATATCTCAACAATTCATTTTGAAAGTCCAATATTTATCTCAATAATAATAATAATAATTTCTTCAATTTTTTATATTTAATTTATCTCAACAATTAATTTATTAATAAATTTAATATTATTTACATAATTAATTATATAATTATATAATAATTATTATTATTATATAAATATATAAAAATTATATAATAATAAATTAATAAATAATAATTAAATTATTAAAATAACTAAATTAATGATAAATTATTAATTAAATTAATATAAATATATTTTTAAATATTTATATAATTTTTAATTTAAAATTAATAATTTTTATAATATTATAATAATAAATATTTATTATTATTAATATTATTTAATAAATTAATTCGATTAACCAGCAAAAAAAAAAATTCAAAAATCAATTAATCAAATTCGATAATTAAATTTGTTATAAGAAAAAAAATTCAAATTACAAAAAATACACAAATAAACACATCTCTTTAATTGATAAACTATGTTATGTTCACACATACATAAAAAAAAACCCCATAAATCCTATAACAAAATCCTTTGATCAAAATTAAAATATAAAAATGCAAATATCAATGAACCCTAAACGAGAGTTGTGTTCAAGGGTTGTTTCTTTCTTATATATATATATATATCTATATTTTTTTGTTTAATTCAAAGATAAATGAACAAATTTTCAAAAACACCCTCGTATCAATTAATAGAATAAACCGAAATAAAAGATTTTGTTTATTTGATATTTGATTGAATATCGTTGATCGAATCAAATCGGTGTGTCATTGTAGTTTGTTGAGAGACATCAAAATATCTAATATGCCAGGTGTGAGCCCAGGTGCTAAGTCGATGGAGAGATTGGGAGAGACCGGACCCTCCCACCCCTGTTGAATTTTCACATGCCGAACTAACAACATAAACACCACCATGCGGCCTACGGCGTTTATATCCGCGATTATATTCATATATATATGTTAATCTCATCTATGTATTAATATATTAACAAATTTTTCCATTAAAAATAATATTAATTATTTTTTTGTGGTTTTTTGTTTTTGCTTTTGTTTTTGCTTTTGTTTTTGTTTTGTTTTGTTTTGTTTTTTAAGAGCATGAAGCACTTAATAAGCTTAAGATGTAAAATACAAATATAAATATTGAAAATGGGTACGCGTGTTGTGATCGTGGGCTGAGTAAAGGGGGGTGGGTAGGTGTGTGAAAAAGGGAAAGGGGTGAAAATTCAAATTCACTAAAATTTTCGAAGAAAAAGACAATTTTGTAAAAGTCTAGTGTCAAAAGTGCACTAATACTAGGTGCATAAGGTGAAAGAATAGAAGTGAGTTTTCTTGTCAAAATTATTTTCAATCAAAAAAAAAAAAAAAAAAAAAAAAAAAAAGAAGAAACAAGTGTGGGTGCAATTTAACGATAGATTCATCTAAATTTAAATTATAATAAAAGAAAAAAATATATAAAAGAAGATTCGTGACCAAGATTTCTAATCACTTTTCTAATTATTTTCTAATCACGCAAATCCAACTATTTCGCATTAACTTTTTAATCATATTTGCAATACTTCTTTTTTTCTTTTCTTTTTCTTTTTCTTTTTTTTTTTTTTACGTTTCATTGTAAAACAATTACAATGTATGATATTTAATTGTTACATTAACACGTTGAGTGGTGGCCACGTCAGTCATGAATGACTAACGATGAACTAACTTCACATTCAGACCGAGTCAGACACCGGTGACTGACGATGAACTTCACATTAAGACCGTGTCAGACACCGATGACTGACGATGAACTTCACATTAAGACCGTGTCAGACACCGATGACTGACGATGAACTTCACATTAAGACCGTGTCAGACACCGATGCCTGACGATGAACTTCACATTCAGACCGTGTCAGATACCGGTGACTGACGATGAACTTCACGTTCATGCTGTGAACTTCACATTAAGACCGTGTCAGACACCGATGCCTGACGATGAACTTCACATTCAGACCGTGTCAGACACCGATGCCTGACGATGAACTTCACATTCAGACCGTGTCAGACACCGATGCCTGACGATGAACTTCACATTAAGACCGTGTCAGTCATCGGTGACTGATGATGAACTTCGCGTTCAGACCGTGTCAGACACCGATGCCTGACGATGAACTTCACATTAAGACCGTGTCAGACACCGGTGAATGACGATGAACTTCACGTTCATGCCATGTCAGACGCCGGTGCCTGACACTCAACTCGTTCACGGCTCGTTTTGTGATGCATGGCCTGACGATGATTTCTGTAAGAATTTGCGTGGCCTGACGATGAATTTTGTAAGAATTTGCATGACGCTCAACGTGTTAATAACATCTCATCTTATAAGATTGATACATTAAGTTTAAATTTAATCGTTTCCCATTGATTCAAAAAAAAAAAAAAAACCAATTCGTTAAAGGTAAATACAAAAAATAAATAAAAAAATAAGTAAGTAAAATGTACAAAAGTTAATGCGACATTTTAATCATTCAGATCTTCCAATGTTGTAACGAAGCATTTACTAAACTATAACAAACTATACTACTTTAGCCACCTATCAGCATATTTCTCTTATCAATCTTATCATTCGCTGTAAGTATCAAAGAAAATAAAAAAACCTATATGAAAAATGTTGCTGGGTATACAGAAGACGTTTGATGAATCAAAAATAGAAAGAAAGAAATTAGAAGAAAAAAAATAAAATCTAAGAGAACTCTCATTCTATTCTAAATTTCAAGTATTCGAATAGAGAAAAAGTTATTAGAAATAGAAAGAGAGAGAGAGAGAGAGAGAGAGAAAGAGAGTGAGACAGAAGGAAAAATTTGTATGCAAAATTCTTATTTTTTTTTTTTTGTGTTTGCAATATTTTGCAATTTATGCAAAAACTTTTACGTTTTACTTATTATCTCTTTTTTTTTTTGGTTTATTTTTGTTATCTATCTTTTTTTATTGTTTTTGTTATCTTTCTTTCTTTCTTCTTTTTTTTAAGTTCCACCCGTTCACAAAGGGAAATGGAATAATAATAATAATATTTAAAAAAAAAAAGGGATTTTAAAGATAAGAAGAAGAAGAAGAAGATGGAATAAGAAGAAATACGAAAAATTGAAGGGTTCAGTTAAAGGAGTGATTTAGTCAAGGTTGGATTAAGGGTAGGGGGTTTGTTGAACCTATTTAGTGATCTCTAATAATAATAAGAATAATAAGAATAATAATAATAATAAGTGGATCGAAGAAGAAATCGGTGTTATACGACGTGACCATTGCAAAGATCTACTAAGCAAGCTTGGGTTCCTAAAATGTTCGAGCTTAGAAAAACTATTGTTGTTAGGAGTAAAAGGATTAGGTTGGGATTCGAACACGAGGTCGGGGATACACGATTGCACATATCCTCCTCACAGAAACACATGTGACCAGTGCCGGTACTTTCCATCATGCACACGTGGTCCACCATGAATAAGTTTATCTGTAGTTGTGATGTACAGGTCCTTCTAACGCTTTCGTATGCTGTAATTTAAATTTTTTTTTTTAATGTATAATAATAAATACATCGAATAATTTATTATTTCTAATTATTTAGAATAATACATTCTAATATATTTTAATTATAAATCATTTCTAAAATAATTTATTACATAATAGGATATAGAGGATCTTATGTTAGATATGTATATAGGATACATATCATATATACATAGATATTTATTATATTTAAATATAATATATACTATAATAAATATAATATATTATAATATATTATAATATTAAAATTATAATTTATTATAATATTATATAATATTAAAAAATTATAATTTATTACAATATATTATATTTTAATATTATAATATTTAATTTATTAATAATTTATTAATATTTAATTATATTTATTATAATACGTAATATTATATTATAATATTTATTATATTAATAATAAATATATTAATTT